TGATGGCATTAATCTCCAATTACTCATAACATAACGTGTGTGTTTGAGCGCAACTTGGTAAATTTCTTTGAATTAGCCGTAGAGAGTTCAAATTGGTAGGTGATGTAGGAGGTCTGGCAGGAACACCATTCGTAGGTGACAGGAAGTGATAAGAACTGACAAAGGCTTGCAAGGGGGCTTAAAAGGGTAGGGCCACCAAATCCATAACTCGCGTCGCATTTGGTGGAACATGGTTTCAAAAAGTTAAATGGGGGTGGGAGGGGGGGGGGTCGGCTGGACGTCGTGAGCATCACAGACGCACACACACGCACAGACATAGCCGATTATATTTGGTAGGATTTTGGGAGTTCATTTCTCAAAGACTGCGAAGGAGACGATAAAGTTACTCGATGGCGGAGGACTACGTAGAATGGTATGTAGTAAGATCTATTTCCTTTTATAGTAGGTCCTACGTTAGTTGTTCGGTCATTTGATTACAATGCAAGTATAGTATCTACCAGAATAGAAAGATAGAATTAACTGCATATCACTCTACGTAGTTCGCTGTTGTTGAAAGTTTTCATCATCAACTCCTTTTTCATGAAATATCCTTTGTTCCCACCGGGGTAGACCAAAACTCATGAATTTGGTCTGGAAAGTCGTGAATTGGTTTGAAAGTCGTGAATTTGGTTTAAGTTGTGAATGTAAAATGAAAATGGCATATATCAACAATGCGTAGCTTTAAATGACCTTCTCTTCATTGCCTGGTATGTGGACAGAAGTTCACGTCAATTACCCCCTTCGTCCCTCAGCGAGTTCGAGTCACTGTAGCCCATCGCGTTTTTGATAGAAGAACCATAGGAAGCACTTGGTATGATAGTGTTATCAAGAATGTTATCAGATTTGCTCAACTCCACGGCGATCTCGAAAATGTGTTGCGATCATGTGACGAGAATGCGTTGACAGGTGACTTGCAAGCATGGTCGGCAGTCAACGGCAAGGACGCTCCCACGGAATGGCCGTCATTCAAAGTAATCGGTCGATAACAATCCATTGATCACTCACGTTCTTGTACAGTTTCTCTTTAGGACTATACGGAATCACTGCGGACGATCGCCTCAAAAAGTGGAGGTTCGAACTCGAGTGGCGTCATTCTCACCAAACAAATCATCAAAACCGACGAAATCCCCGGTCCAGGGCCAACTAACAGCGTATCGCCACCGCACAGCGACAACGGCAAGGTTGCTACACGTTCATTAAATGAGTTGAATTGATGGTGGATGAGGTTTGAATGAATATGGTGCGATATTGCGTCGTGTCCCCGTCACAATTGTGCGATGCTGTTCAAAGACATGCACTCACCTTCGAAGATGGTCATTTGAATGTGCGAGGTGAGTGGGTACGCAGCCATCAGAAACGCGCCACTTATCTCCGCTTGAATTGTACGGGAACGAGGCCGGAGGATGGTTATACTCGATTGCCGTCTCAGTATTCCTTCCGCGCTATCCTCGATGTGCAGCTGTTGCGTACATACGAAGATCGCAGCAAAAACGCATCCAGCGACGGAGAACAAGCAGAAGTGAGTGAGGCCGTGCGGCAGCTCGGGCGAGGTGTGGCGACAGCGTTTGGGTAGGCCACTCCCTAGCCTTGTTTCCGTGTCACCTAAGAGCGGAGAAAGTGACACGCTTCTTCGGCTGTTGATCCATTCACCTCACACATGGCAAGGAATAGGTTCCAGACAGGTGAGAGTACAGCTTGCTCTTGAGTATTGCTATTTGAATGTGCCCATAAATTGTAATTACCTCTGTCACATTCATGCACAGACATATATGCATGGAAGAAGG